TACTGTCGGAGTGGGAGTCGGGCCCGGAGTAACGACGCAACCTCAATATGAGTATGATCGTCCTCATTTATTGTTTGCATACACAGTGTTTATATAGGATTCTAAATCAGCCACGCTCCTAAAGCAAAGCTATCATTGGTCCCCAACAACTGTTCACACGCCTGTCTATACATTGCTATTGGCTAAGCTAAGTTTTACACACATATCTCTACAACAGCAGGGTGCATGCCTTGTGATAAGCGGTGCATTCCTTGTGGCCAGCAAGCTCCTGTTTCAGCGTTCTGCTTACATTTCTTCAACTCCAGGCCTCCCCGGCTCAGCTGAGTCAGAGAGAGTTCAAGGCTGTCTCACTCGGCTCTAATCCTGGGTTGTGCAGGCCCTCGTGAGAATAACCATTGCTCCACAATTCCCCCGTTTTTCTTTTGCACAAACCAGGATGCTTGCTGTCACACAAGGAAAATTTTGCTAAGTAATCTACTAAGTAAGCTTTGCAAACATTGTAATAAGCAAGGTACCAATACAGGCACATCCCGTTTTCTAACCTCCTTATTCCTCCCTTCAAGATGCTCATTAACTACAAGGTCAGTTTTACCCTCCTGCACAGCTGGTGTTTTTTACCGAGCTGGGTTTCTCACTGACTTTTACAAAACTGGTCCCTGGCCAAGTTCAGCCATGGGAATGTAACCCTTGCCTGCCAACCATGCTTCCACAATTCCCCTTTTTCTTTTTCAAGCATATTTGTTACAATTTTCATAAGGCTTTGCAGAATACACTGAATAATACAAGGCAAACAAATCAAGATAAGCAAAAGTAAGATACATACAGGCAAAAAATGACTTACAATACTGCTTAGCCAGGATCCTAGTCCCAGTGATCTTAACCAAGAGGTGAGGTCGCAAGAGTCTTTTAATTTGTGCAAGTTGTTTTTGAGTTGTTGCAGCTCCTTGTGTATAGAGCTACTATGGCCTGAGAGATTCATGCAACATGTATGGCTCTCTGGTAACAGGGGAGGCCATCCTTCACATCAAGGTCTGGCATGGCATGTGTCCCCACTGCTCCACGCCTGCTGGGTTGCAGCCAGCAGTGGAGCTAAAGGTTCTTCTTGGTGGCAGGCACAGAGGCCAACCCAGTCTTGCCCTTGATTGTGGTAGCAGGCATTTGGTCAGCCTCAGTCCTTGCATCTTGTTGTCAATGCAGTTTCACCTGCTTCATTCAATAACAAGCTCTTATTACGGCAAGGCACACACACAGATTTACATTAGCAGAGTAACTATTACAGGGTGCAGCAGCATGTTGAAGATGCTGATGCCAGCAAGGGACTAGCCAAAGAAATTTCTTACCAGTGGAATTCTCCCACCCTCTTAATTTGTTCCATTACCTGCTTTATAACACTACCGTTGTATTAGAATATTTCTATCTTTTGCCTTAGCATTTTCTAGCAGCTACTACAAATTTGCATACTCTAACATCTCTTTTAGAAGTGGCATCCATATAAATACAAGGTGTAGTTTGTTATCTGTAACTGGCTAGTAAATACAGGTGGTTTCATACACAAAATCAAAGCCTCTAACAAGAACTACTTTACAAACACACATATTCAGGCTATTACTTTTCAATTGCCCCCAAATGATGTTTAGCAATCATTGGTTTTTCTCTATCTCATTCTGCTTGGGGTATTCACATTCAGGTCCTGCAGCTGAGGCATCAGGTTCCTCCATTCGTCTGTCCAGCTCATGGCAAGGCTTGACAAACTTTGCAGGCATTCGCCATGGACCTGTAGGCAGGAGGACACAAATATACCCCCTCCTCCAGGTTATCAGTTCTTGAGAAGTAGATAGGTTCTGTATCTGCCACCCTGATGCTGCTCAGGTGACAGCTCGTAAGGCTTGTGGTTGCACTACCCCTCTCGCCTTTTCAGTTAGCAGTTCTTGTTTCAACCGATCTATCTGTTCCTCCAAGTCTTGGATTCATCCCCAGGTTACTTTAAACATATTAAGCTTGGTTTTCTTTTATTTTGTTTTTGGGTTTTTTTTTTCTCTCTTCGGCTCTGGTGTCCATCCTGGTCCTTCCACCGGTGGAGCACCGGGAGCCGAATCGGAGGGCAGCTGGCCTGCCTGCCCGGCAGCAGCTACAGCCACCTGCCTGCTTCAGCAGCAACCATAAATATCTGCCGACAACCTCACTTTTGCATTAACCCTTTCTTGTCTGAAATGTTAAACTACTATCTATTAGAAACTTTTACATGAACCCAACAACAAAAAATACACAGAACACCATCTGCCCTTAACACACACACACACATATGGGATCCCACAAGCACACTCCACACAACTACAATATTTGAAGCACAAAATCCCAACAATCATTACTTCCAGTACACAATCCCACGTACAGAACATGGCACAAGGACCCTGTGGAGACTAACAAGAAAACCAGCTCCGAGAAGCATCATCACAGTGCGAGGTGGCAGGCTCAACCTTAGCGGGTGTCCCCGCAGAGGCTCTGCCTCCCCCACATAGCATGAGGCTTCGACTTTTATACTGACCAAAACGCACACTCATTCCAACACAGGTGGCCAGCCTATGTTGGAAGAAGTAGCCAGCAGTATTTATAAAGGTCTCCAAAGTTCGGTAGAAACCTGGACATACCTATTTTTACCAGCTTCTAGTACATGAGTATCACAGAGAGAATGTATTAAATGAGTTGTATATGGGGTCATAAGTCCACAGTCCATCACAGACCTTTCCACTGCAGGTCTTGATGCAGGACTTTAACGTAAAAAAGGTTACTCCCTTCACTTTAAGAAGGATTGAAAACATCCATAAAACAGATGTCCTAAGATCAAATTTCAATTCATTCAACCACTGACAAGGGGGGGCGGCGGGCTGCTGAACTAATTTACTTTACAGTACACTGTTTCTTTTTACAATGTCCCATCCGTCCACAATTATAACATCTCATATCTTTAGTACCCCCGCGATCGCTCTAACCTTATTGTAAAAGGGGTTTAACAGCAGCAGCAAAGGCAGTAGCCTTGTATCCAGCCTTTTCCTCTGCTGTGCTCACTTTAAATCACATCTGAAGGTGGGGAGTAAGCAACAATTGAGCTGTTATACAGATATCATATGGTGCTAAGATATATGCAGAAAAAATATGTGCGATAATTGCCCGAGTATGCGATGATTTTAACCCGTAGGATGTTACCGGTTGACGCGCCTCCTTTACAGCCTTTAAATCCAATGCCTCCCACTTCTTTCCCCCCTGTGGAGTGTTAAACACCGGGAATGCCGAGGGACCCATAGCCGAAAATTCCCCCATAACAATTGCATCTTTGATGATAACGTTTAGCAGGGTTATTACTGTAATCCCGTACCCCGTGCCCAACACCCCCCTCCCATTCCCCTTTCTTTACTACTGGATTGTAGGAGGGTGGAGCAGAGGGTTCGGCGGTTTCTTTTGTCTCCAATACTTTAATTTCTTCAGCAGCTGTTGCAGTTGACCGTCACTGAGGCTGGATCGCATCTGCCGATGAACCGAACTGTCTGAATTGTCTGAGTCTGAGTTGGGGTCAGGAAGGGAAGGGTACAAGTCCGGTTCTGCCGGAGACTCTGGGTCTGGTTCCAATTCCGATTCGGGGTCTTCATCCTCTAGGTCGAAGGTGACCGCGTTTGCACTTTCTACTTGTACTTTTGGACGCGAGTGCCGTTTCACTTTATCTTCCCCCTTATGCTGAGGAGGCTTCTGTGATGCCGTGCCAGGCACAACGGGGGGGGGGCTTCCCTCTCTGCCCTCATTTCTTTTAAGGTCTCTAGGACAGAGTTCCATTGGTGTCCACAGTTTTTGCCACATGGTTCCCCCAAAGTCTCACCATTCCGATACGGAAAATATCAGACAAATGTCTGCAAAATGTCCCCATTTTTGGCCTAACTTAATTAATCGTATCAGCTGCTTCACCGGCGCTTCTTTCCCTCTCTTGGAGAGGATTCCGGCGAGCAAGTTGGCTGCAGCTTCCTGATCCATAGCTGCACCTGGGGGTTAGAGAGCTACTCTAACGCCGGCTTTCCGCGTCTGCCTGGACCTCTTGTCCCCGGCAGGGCTTCCCCAGCCGATTCTTCCCGCTCCGACCCTCCTCTTGCTGCTTACCACAGTCTCGGAGATCTTTGGTCGGGAACCATCCTCTGCTACCAGATGTCGGAGTGGGAGTCGGGCCCGGAGTAACGACGCAACCTCAATATGAGTATGATCGTCCTCATTTATTGTTTGCATACACAGTGTTTATATAGGATTCTAAATCAGCCACGCTCCTAAAGCAAAGCTATCATTGGTCCCCAACAACTGTTCACACGCCTGTCTATACATTGCTATTGGCTAAGCTAAGTTTTACACACATATCTCTACAACAGCAGGGTGCATGCCTTGTGATAAGCGGTGCATTCCTTGTGGCCAGCAAGCTCCTGTTTCAGCGTTCTGCTTACATTTCTTCAACTCCAGGCCTCCCCGGCTCAGTTGAGTCAGAGAGAGTTCAAGGCTGTCTCACTCAGCTCTAATCCTGGGTTGTGCAGGCCCTCGTGAGAATAACCATTGCTCCACAGGATACGGTTGGCTTTCTGGGCTGCGAGCGCACACTGCTGGCTCATGTTCATTTTCTCATCAACCTGTACCCCCAAGTCCTCTGCAGGGCTGCTCTGAATCTCTTCTTTGCCCAGCCTGTAGCTGTGCCTGGGATTGCTCCGACCCAGGTGCAGGACCTTGCACTTGGCGTGGTTAAACTTCATGAGGTTGGCATCAGCCCACCTCACAAGCCTGTCAAGGTCCCTCTGGATGGCATTCCTTCCCTCCAGCGTATCAACCGAACCACACAGCTTGGTGTCATCGGCAAACTTGCTGAGGGTGCACTCAATCCCACTGTCCATGTCAGCGACAAAGACGAACAGCATCTAGTAAATGTGGTGTATAACTCTCTGGCCAAAGTTAAGGTAAAGAAATGACAGCACTGCCCGTTTGTGACAGGAATTTTTATTGTACTTGTTTGTTAATTGAGAAAGAGGAACATATTAGCTCAATTGATTATGATCACATTGTGCTCCTGCTTAGGATAAGCTAGCAAATCCAGTGTTCCCAATACTAATTCAATGTTTTTATCTCTTAAACTAACACCTCGAAACAGAATAAATGCATTCCTCTTTTCATGTTTTAGTAGCCCAACTACTTTACTTTATTATTTAATCCGTGTCATCGGGTGTATCCTCCAAAGGAATGAGGCTCTGGAATTCATAGCCATGAGAAAAAAGAAACAAAACACAAAACCAACAAAACTTCTTCATTAGAATTTAACATTCTAATAAAACAAGACCTATCAATATATTAATCCAGTTACAAATACGTGTATATAGAAGGAAATCCTCTGGATGTCATTACAGAAAATGATAAGCTATTTACAAGAGACACAGCAAGATGGTACGGTAGCCAGGACCCACCATTCAGAAACCAAATGTGTTCTCTCCACTGTAGGCAACATACAAGAATCCATCCTCATCCTTTTCCTTCTCATAAAGTTGTCCCATAGTTAAGCTTGAAGGGAGAAAAAAAAAACCCAAAGAGAAACGGTTTGCTTGGATCGTGACAACTGCAAATGGTACCAGTTTGAACCTTACATAGACAAGGATTAATAAAAGCTAAAACTTGTGAATCAGTGCATAAAATACAAAAATTAGGATATATGAAAGCGGTTGATTCCTGAGTTAGCAAAATGATCCTGGGCTCTCTATAGTGTCTAGGGTTTTGTTATTCTTCACAAATGCATGTGTCAGAATGCTTCCTTATTTTACTGGAAATTAGTCACTGAACATATTTCAGGTTCTGAATCATAGAATAGTTAGGGTTGGAAAGGAGCTTAAGATCAGCTAGTTCTAACCCCCCTGCCATGGGCAGGAACACCTCCCACTAAACCATGTCACCCAAGGCTCTGTCCAACCTGGCCTTGAACACCGCCAGGGATGGAGCATTCACAATTTCCCTGGGCAACCCCTTCCAGTGCCTCACCACTCTTACAGTGCTGTGACTAATATCAGGCTCAAGAGCCTGGTGGCGGCACCTCCCTTGAATGCAACTGCATTAACCTCTTGCTTCTTGTGTGAGCAACTTGATTTCTCCCTCCACCTGGTGTAGTTGTGAATGTTCAGCTGGTCTCAAGTCTATAAAACTTGTGCTTTTTGGACTGTTTCTTTGAGCTCTGGGCTATTCTGGGGAGCAAAAGCTTTGTTTTCTGTACTGTTTAAAAGTGATGACTTCAAGTAATGCTAGTACCAAAATGTGTGGGCAGTAAATGACAAGTTAGCCAGGAACTAGTGTTTTTTTCAGGGGATAAGGTTTTGAACATTTGAACAAATGAAAAATTTTATAACTGAACAGGCATGTGTCCCTTCACAGTGTAAGTAGTAGTGGTCTTTAGGGCAAAGACTGCATTTTGAAAACAAAAAGAAGCCCAAGCGGTTACTTGGCCAGTACAACTGCTCCAACCATCTATCTGCAGATGAAACAGGCAGTTGACATCAGGCAGTTGCACAAGTGACACCTCCTCAGCTCACCTGAGATGATGGGGAAACGAGCATGGCTTTTTCCCCAAGAGAGGAGCTGGGAGGAGTTATAGCAGTACTTGAAATGAAAGGGAATTGGTGAGTACCAGATAAACTTCTGGATAAAAAGCATATCAAGAGTTTAGTGGTCTATGTAATGAACTCAGCCTACAAGATGAACAGAACCATTAATACATCAGATTTTTTTGTCTGTTAACAACTTACCATTTTTTGCATTAATATTGAAGGTTCAAGGCCCTGTTTTTCCAGCAGAGATGGGGCATCCCATCCTGAACATGTGAGATGAGACAATGTGTCCTTTCTTTCCTGTTCCTAGCAGTTCTACAGCACTGTTAAGATGATGACATACAGGCATTCCTAATACTCTCAGAAGAAAGCAAGCAGGAAGTGTTGGGCTCATGCTGCCACAAGAGGAGCCTGGTCCAGCGCTATGCTCCTCACTCAGGCCCTGCAGCCTCCAGCTATGTGGAGAGGTGAGAGCTGAAGCTGGAGCTGCCAGGCTACCAGGAGCACCTCTGCTGCGCACAGGGCGGGCAGGTGGTGCCCAACCCCCTGGGGTGTGGAGCAAAAGCAGCAGGAGCAGGCACAAGGCTGCCTGCTGTGGTAGGGGGTAACCTTGGCCTCTGTGGGGTTGCATTGGAGGCTGTGGAGGATGTGTGGTGGGCTGCGCTCGTTGCCTGAGAGTGATTGTGGAGACCTGTACCTGAGGTGATGTGTGAAGGAGCATAGCGTGCCTTTGGGGCCATAACAAGGCAGTTACATGGGTAAGAGCAGTCAGTTGAGTAGCTCATGGGGACTGACAGAGTAGTTGTGAGGGAAGGAGGAATGGAAGTGAGCCAAGGGGTGCAGAAAGACACCATAAAATGGTGTCTCAGGTATGGTCTGAAAACTTCAGTGAGTTTTGGGGACAACCTGGGGCTGAGAGCAGTGCATCGAGTGTGGCCAGTGGGTCCAGGGAGGTGATCCTCCCCCTCTACTAGACCCTAGTGAGTCCACATCAGGAGTACTGTGTCCAGTTCTGGGTACCTCAGTACAAGAAAGACAAGGAGCTAGTGGAAAGGGTCCAGTGGAGGGACACAAGGATGATCAGGGGCCTGGAGCATCTCTCTTATGAAGAGAAACTGCAGGAGCTGGGCCTGTTTAGTCTGAAGGAGTCTGAGAGGGGACCTCATTAACACATATAAATATCTCAAAGGCAGGTACCAGGAGGATGGCACCAGACTCTTTTCAATGGTGCCCAGCAACAGGATGAGGAGCAGTGGCCATAAACTAAAACACAAGAAGTTTCGCCTCAACATGAGGAAGAACTTCTTTACATTGAGGGTGGCAGAGCACTGGAACAGGCTGCACAGAGGGGTTGTGGAGTCTCCCTCTCTGGAGACATACAAAACCCACCTGGACACATTCCTGTATAAACTACTCTAGGTGGCCCTGCCTTGGCAGGGAGGTTGGACTGGACGATTTCCAGAGGTCCCTTCCAAACCTAATGATTCTGTGATTCTGTGAAAGATGGTTCTCACAGGTCCCTATTGTGTATCACAAAGTAAATAAAAATATTGGTAACAGTCTGGACAGGTTACCTGAAGGAACTCTTACAAAGGTAAGGGTTAATAAGAATAATATTCTACCTAAGCCACATAACACCATGACATACTATTTACTCAAATACTATTAAAGTGTCTTGTATCAAAAGCAGCTGTAGTAGCTGCTTCTGCTTTACATTATTCTGTATGTAGCAGACAACAATGAAACTTATTCCTATATAAAAGCAATGTTAAAAATCTTTCTATAGTAATTTTGCGCTTATAGAAAATAAGTAATTTTTAAAACAAGTAACAGCATAATTTCTTTGAGCTGACAGGTTAATCTTTTTTCAGTAAAATTTATGGTGTTTGCTTTTGAGTTTTCAACATGCAACTTTTTTGAGAAGGATTTTTTTTATTGATGATGTAAATGCTCTTACACTCAAACAAAAATATCATAATACCTCCAGAGTTCACCCTTTTGCTGTGGAAGTAAATCATAATATATTTTTTCAGTCACCTTTCCTTTCAGCCTAGCTCAAGAAATAAGATGTTTATCAAACTCATGAGAAAAAAACTATCACAGATTAAGACGTAACCAAACCCCTCCTAAGATCAGCAGATAAGCCTCAGAGAGGGGAGTTCCTGTCCCTCTGGTGCACACAGGCTTGCAGACATGGTTCTGAATACCAAGTGAATAGCCTCTCACCTGGATTGTGGGACAGTCTTGTCTACAAAGAGGAATATTGCTTTCTCAGACGGCAGTTGAATCCTCTTCCTGATGATCCACATGAACTGGGCCACGGTGATGTCTGATGGAACTAAGTACTTCCTCTTGTCAATGTCAACAATTTGAGATCCTGAGACCTTCTCCACTATGACCTGTAAAGCACAGGTGTGAAGGTCAGGCTTTTCTGGATTGCTATGAACAGAAAGCTTTTGGAAATCACTTGCTGGTGCAGGTTTACAACAGTGAGCAGAGAGGAGGAACAAAAAGGTTTCTTGACCACAGCCAAATGAGAGGTAAGACTGGTTCAGCACTGTAAACCCTGATCTTAAACTGCACTGAAACTTAAATTCATATACACAATCGCATGAAACTTCCTCTGCCTGTTGAAGTCAAGGGGTGAAAAGATACAATATGTCTAAAAGAAAAACCTGTGATAGAAAAGCATGCAAATGATTTAACTTTTTGTATACTGAAGATATGAAATTACTGTGATGTGGACCCCAAGTTAAGAATGAGCCAGCACTGTACCCTGGCAGCAAAGAAGGCTTATGGTATCTCAGGCTGCAAGTATTGCCAGCAGGTCCAGGGCAGTGATCCTTCCCCTGAACTGGTGAAGCCACACCTGAGTGCTCTGTCCAGTTCTGGCCTCCTCAGTATGTGAGCTTAAAACACTAACAATAGTGTGTGTGTCTTTAACAGTAGAATAGACCAAACTGTTCTAACTTATTAACACGCAGAAAGCTTCTCCAACTGACTTTTACAGTAACGAGTACAGGAGAGACATGGACATACTGGAGAGAGTCAAACAAAAAGACTCCAAGACGTTTAAGGGATTGGACCATCTCTTGTATGAGGAAAGGCTGAAAGCTGGGACTGTTCAGCCTGCAGAAGAGAATGCTCAGGGGGATCTTATCAGTGTTTATAAATACCTGAAGGGAGAGTGTAAAGAAAATGGAGCCAGGTTGTTCTCAGTGATGTCCAGTGACAGGACAGGAGGTGATGGGCACAAAGTGAAGCACGGGTTTCCTCTGAACATCAGGAAACATTTTTTTACTGTGCAGGTGACAGAGCACTGGCAGAGGCTGCCCAGGGAAGGTGTGAAGTCTCACAGCTTGGAGATACTCCAAAGCCATCTGTCCTGGGCACCTGGCTGTAGGTGGCCCTGCTTGAGCGGGGAGGGGTTGGACCGGATGACCTCTGGAGGTCCCTTCCCACCTCAACCCTTCTGTGATTCTGTGATTTATTCATACCAGGACACTAATGTCCTATTGTGTTTAAGTACGGCTAATGATTTTAAAGTTCCCCGTGTGCAATAGCCAAAAACAGTGTATTCTGTGACACAAGCTTGGGGGCAGGAGCAGGAGAGGAATTGGCATTGAGACAAAGGGGCACAAAATCACAAAAAGGGATATAGAAACCTGATTCTCCGAATCAGCATCTACTGAGATGTTTGAAGCATGAGCAGCTAGAGAGCTTCAGGTTTAAGAGTGGCTTGTCTGCACTACTTCTCTTTAACTGGTGATCGAAAGACGGAGTCCAGGATTTCTGTCTTTTCACTTACTCTAGTTGATAACAAGAAACTGAAGAATCCATTTAACCATATTCCTTCCTTGCCCCATTCAGCTGTAACGGAGTCATGAAAAGTTTAACTAGGCTGCAGCACTAGTACCTGAGCAACGGCAGGTGATCTGAGAAAGTGTACAGATGCTTTGTACAGATGCTGCTTACTTTGTTTTGACACTGTCACAATGTAAAAAGAAAGTAGAATAGAACAGAATAGTTCAGTTGGAAGGGCCCTACAACAATCATCTAGTCCAACTGCCTGACCAGTTCAGGACTGACCAAAAATTAAAGCATATTACTCAGGGCATTGTCCAAATGCCTTGAACACTGACAGGCCTGGGGCATCAACCACCTCTAGGAAGTCTGTTCCAGTGTTTGACCACCCTCATGGTAAAGTAATGCTTTCTAATGTCAAGTCTGAACCTCCCCTGATGCAGCTCTGAACCATTCCCATCCCTGTCCCTGGATCCCAGGGAGCAGAGATCAACAACCCCCTCTCCACATTACCTCCTCAGGAAGCTGCAGAGCAATGACATCACCCCTCAGCCTCCTCTCCAAACTAGAGAAACCCAGAGTCCTTAGCCACTCCTCATAGGACATGCAAGTGTGACCATCACTGCTTGCAATCTTCATACACACAATTCTAGTTTGCAACAAGCATGGCCTATCCTCATTTAAATTTTCATAGTGCTAAATAAAATCCCACAAAACAAAGAAATACAGGTTTAATATACACACCACTTCCACCCTTCCAACTTAACTGTCTTCTTTAAACAATGCCTAAGCTGTTCCCAACAGATGACAGAACCAGCACGTAGCATGCAACAAAAGAAAAAAAAAATCCCAAACAGGAAGAAATATTAGAAATAAATTTCAGTAATACTGAAGCTACAAAATCAGAATTTAGGTAAATGGGAGGGAGAAGCACCAGCCTTGTTTATTATCTGATCTGCCATTTCACCTTTTGTGCACAAACCAGAAATGCCAAAATGTCTCTCAGGTTTCCATCTAGAGCATTAGAGTATTCATTAGATGTTTTTATTCCTCCCTGAAGTCTTTTGTATTAATCCGTGCAACATACTGTGCCATTACACAGCAAGTACCCTTACATCAGAAACTGTCATGCTAAGTAGAGGCATAGGCATCCTTCAGGGAACTCGGTGCAGAGCTGAAGAAGCCACGTTGTATCGAAATAGTCAAGTTGATATTGTGGTGTGAGTTGTGGTATAATGCAAGGTTCTAGCTGGCCATAGACCACATGTTCATTTTTTACAGTGCTTTGCAGTACTGCTTTTTATAGAATCATAGAATAGCTAGGGTTGGAAAGGACCTTAAGATCATCAAGTTCCAACCCCCCTGCCATGGGCAGGGACACCTCACTGTAAACCATATTACCAAGGCCTCGTCCAACCTGACCTTGAACACTGCCAGGGATGGAGCATTCACAACCTCCCTGGACAACCTATTCCAGTGCCTCACCACCCTAACAGGAAAGAATTTCCTCCTTATTTCCAATCTAAACTTACCCTGTTTAAGTTTTAACCCATTACCCCTTGTCCTATCACTACAGTCCCTAATGAAGAGTCCATCCCCAGCATCCTTATAGGCCCCCTTCAGATACTGGAGGGCTGCTATGAGGTCTCCACACAGCCTTCTCTTCTCCAGGCTGAACAGCCCCAACTTTCTCAGCCGATCTTCATATGGGAGGTGCTCCAGTCCCCTGATCATTCTTGTGGCCCTCCTCTGGACTTGTTCCAACAGTTCCATGTCCTTTTTATGTTGAGGATACCAGAACTGTACACATTACTCCAAGTGAGGTCTCACGAGAGCAAAGGGGCAGGATCACCTCCTTCGACCTGCTGGTCACACTCCTTTTGATGCAGCCCAGGATACGGTTGGCTTTCTGGGCTGCGAGCGCACACTGCTGGCTCATGTTCATTTTCTCATCAACCTGTACCCCCAAGTCCTCTGCAGGGCTGCTCTGAATCTCTTCTTTGCCCAGCCTGTAGCTGTGCCTGGGATTGCTCCGACCCAGGTGCAGGACCTTGCACTTGGCGTGGTTAAACTTCATGAGGTTGGCATCAGCCCACCTCACAAGCCTGTCAAGGTCCCTCTGGATGGCATTCCTTCCCTCCAGCGTATCAACCGAACCACACAGCTTGGTGTCATCGGCAAACTTGCTGAGGGTGCACTCAATCCCACTGTCCATGTCAGCGACAAAGACGAACAGCATCTAGTAAATGTGGTGTATAACTCTCTGGCCAAAGTTAAGGTAAAGAAATGACAGCACTGCCCGTTTGTGACAGGAATTTTTATTGTACTTGTTTGTTAATTGAGAAAGAGGAACATATTAGCTCAATTGATTATGATCACATTGTGCTCCTGCTTAGGATAAGCTAGCAAATCCAGTGTTCCCAATACTAATTCAATGTTTTTATCTCTTAAACTAACACCTCGAAACAGAATAAATGCATTCCTCTTTTCATGTTTTAGTAGCCCAACTACTTTACTTTATTATTTAATCCGTGTCATCGGGTGTATCCTCCAAAGGAATGAGGCTCTGGAATTCATAGCCATGAGAAAAAAGAAACAAAACACAAAACCAACAAAACTTCTTCATTAGAATTTAACATTCTAATAAAACAAGACCTATCAATATATTAATCCAGTTACAAATGCGTGTATATAGAAGGAAATCCTCTGGATGTCATTACAGAAAATGATAAGCTATTTACAAGAGACACAGCAAGATGGTATGGTAGCCAGGACCCACCATTCAGAAACCAAATGTGTTCTCTCCACTGTAGGTAACATACAAGAATCCATCCTCATCCTTTTCCTTCTCATAAAGTTGTCCCATAGTTAAGCTTGAAGGGAGAAAAAAAAAAACCCAAAGAGAAACGGTTTGCTTGGATCGTGACAACTGCAAATGGTACCAGTTAGAACCTTACATAGACAAGGATTAATAAAAGCTAAAACTTGTGAATCAGTGCATAAAATACAAAAATTAGGATATATGAAAGCGGTTGATTCCTGAGTTAGCAAAATGATCCGGGGCTCTCTATAGTGTCTAGGGTTTTGTTATTCTTCATGGGTTACATGGGTAAGAGCAGTCAGTTGAGTAGCTCATGGGGACTGACAGAGTAGTTGAGAGGGAAGGAGGAATGGAAGTGAGCCAAGGGGTGCAGAAAGACACCATAAAATGGTGTCTCAGGTATGGTCGAAGATGTTAAACAAGACCGGTCCCAACACCGTTCCCTGAGGGACACCACTCGTTACTTGTCTCCAGCCGGACCTTGAGCCATTGACCACAACTCTTTGTGTGCGGCCATCCAGCCAGTTCTTTATCCACCAAGTGGTCCATCCATCAAATTGATGTCTCTCCAATTTAGAGACAAGAATGTCGTGTGGGACAGTGTCGAACGCTTTACACAAGTCCAGGTAGATGACATCAACTGCTTTACCGCCGTCCATCAGTTCTGTAGACCCATTGCAGAAGGCCACCAAATTGGTCAGGCAGGATTTCCCCTTAGTGAAGCCATGCTGACTGTCACCAAGCACCTTGTTGTTTTCCATGTGCCTTAGCATG